TGTAAACTATTAATTGGATCATTAATTATTGATGCTGTTTTTACTACAATTCGAGAGGCGAGAGCAGAAAAGAGGCCGGGGTGAAACTGTGTGTGTTTTAACATAGTCACCAAACTGGGAAGTGTACAGTGTCATGTAAAACCCCTGGGAGGCAGGTCTTAAAACGTATAACCTCAAACAAAACACCTGTATCTAACTTCTACTAGTAAGGAGAGAAAACTCTAGTTCTACCGGTTAAGGTATAAAAGGTGACATTGTTAAGAATATTCTAACATCCACACTTCAGAACACACACTGAAAAAACGGAAACTGTATTAGGTTAGTTGAAAGCAATAATATAAAGTTGAACCAATTTTTTTATTAAACTTAATATTATTGCTAGGGCCGGGACTCGATTAAAAAAATTAATCTAATTAATTAGAGGCTTTGTAATTAATTAATCGAAATTAATCGCATTTTTAATCACATATAAATATTTGACCTAAGAACAGTGAGAAGCAATTTTTTTCACATGGATTTTAGTATACCATTAGGCGCATTCACACCGCAGTACTTTTCCCACAAAGGTTCATGAGAATTTAGTTCATGAGAACTCTTTGAACCTGGGGGTGGATTAGGCAAATGAAGCCGCTGACGTCACTTGTTCTTCTTCTTTGGGTTTACTGGCAGGCCGCAAACCACTTCACGGCGTATACTGCCGCCCAAAGTCCCCGGCCGGAAGTCCCCGGAGTTGGGGACTGGCTTCAGTAGAAGCTGCTGGGAGTCCCAGCAGCCTTCCGAGTAAATCGCCAGAACGCCGACACCTCCTCATCTCCACCGCTCCCATGTTTTATTTTGTGTTGCCATAAGTTAGTCTCTCTGCGTTTCTGCGCTGGGCTAATGCTAATGCTAATAATGCTAATGCGAGGATAATAAAATGGCGGCTTCACAAAACTTTTTGGGAGTTTTACGGGGCGTGGTTTGCAATCCGCCCAGCCAATCAGAAATATAGCTCTTTTCTCACAAGAGAGCCGCTCGAAAGTCCCTGCTCTCTAGCAGCTCTCTGCTCTCTAGCAGGGACTTTCGTACGGGTAAAAAGGTTCTCATGAACTAATTTTAGTTCCGGCTCTTTTTGGTGTGAACGCGATAAAAGAGGCTAACGTCCACGCTAGCTTCCACGCTAGCTGCTATATGTTTTGCATTGAGGTGATACTTGAGGCTTGATGTGCTGCGGTGATATGCGAATTCCTTTTTGCATAATTTGCACACAACCGTGCTCTTATCGACGCTTCCATCCGTCCGTTTTTTAAAACAACATTTCCCACTGTTGTTCACTGTGGTTTGTTGTTGTCTGAAGTCATGAACGTTAGTTGGTGCTCCAGTATAATCGGTACGCCTGAAACTCATCCAGTGAGAAACGTTCCGCGGTGCAAAAATAAGTGCGATTAAAATGCGTTAATTTTTTTTTAACGCGTTAATTTTTGTGTAATTAATTAATCTTAATTAACGCGTTAAAGTCCCGGCCCTAATTATTGCTTTCAACTAACCTGATACAGTCATGTGAAATCTGTTGACATGATACATCTAATTAGTGTGAACGGTTCAGTTTTTTCAGTGCAGACCACAAACCCAACAAACCTATGGAGGTGGAAAAACTGCTCACAAAAGCCTTTAGTAGGATGTAACTTAGGCTGTCCCTACACAATGTCCACCTCTCTGCCGTAGTTAGCCGGCCTCTCCTTTTCTGTTTGTTCGGCACTATTATGAGACGGCATGTCGGGGGAATCAATAAGGAGGAAAACACAGGGAGAGGACCGTCGTGATAAATCAGTCTCCAGTGCTCGCAGGCACGAGCCAGGCTCATTACAGCTGGCACACCCTCTCTCCTCGGGTCTCCGCCTCTCCTTAGTCTCATCTCCTTCTCCATCCACTAAGCACCCCCCCTCCTGCCTCCCTCCTAAGGGTGTCGGAGATATGAGGGCATGGCATGCACCCTGCTCAGCCGGCTGTTACACACCCATTTGCCGCACAAACTACGCGGACGTGCCACATATGGCCAAATGGTGCTTTCTGCCCTTTATCTCCACTCTTTCCTCTTCTGGCCAGACATGAACAAAAATGCGGTGTTCTTTGCTTTGCTGTCTGGATGTTTGATGTCATGTCACTCTCTTTATGCGTATCAGAGAGTGCTAGGTTTGCATGTTCACAGAGGGAAATAAAATCCCAATTGGTGTCTTTTTAGGAACATAAAAAAACAACACCTGCGCAACTCGGTTCCGCTAAAGTACATCTAAGCCTTTTCCACACTCATGCTGAATGTTTCCATGTGTAAACTCTATGTACAACAAACACTGCCTGATCTTTCTTTATGGCTGTTAGAATCTCACATGCCCACATACTGTATGGAGCCAGGAGTTTTGGACCTCTCTCTGTTATGTAATTACATTTTGGCAGAGTGCAACAAAGCTGGTTTTAAAATAAATGGTTCAGTAGAGTTTTCTGAACCAGTTATCAGAGTCCTTGCATGCACCATAAACTAGCAACCTTAATTATGTCATAAATTAATCAAAGTGTCAATTATAACTAAGGGCCAATGATAGCTCCACATTAAGCGCTGTCTGTAAATGTTCTGTGGTTTGCTATACTTATTCAGGTCAATAGTCCAGCTTTCCTGTGTGTTTTCCCCTCTCTCCTATACACAGCCTGACCTGTGGAGGAGGCAGACAGAAGCAGACAGAAACAACAGAAACTCTGACCCTGCAAACAGCCGACTCTTCTACCTATTTTGGTTCCATCATGGCTACCTGGAAACCTGGAAACTCCCACATCAATAATGTAGAGCTAGTGCTGGGCTGCTTCCCTAAGTAAGGAGAAGAGTTACATAATAGAGCAGACCGACTGAATTCCTCCCCTCTCCTCTAGATTAAACATGTTGAGCGTGTGGCAGGCGCTTTGGTCTAGTGTAGCAACCTGCTACTGTACTTTCTTCCTTTCTGTTTTTTTAATCCTCCATTTGTCAACTGCGCCTCATGCTTACATTTTGCTTAGTGTTTTTAACATTTTTAGAGTAAAGACTTCTGTAATTAAGGGTTTGACCACAAAATCAATTTGTAATTACGACAACTGTCAAGCAGGTGGAGCAGTCAAGAAGCTAACAGCCTAACAATTGCTTTTGATGTTGATCTATGCAAAGTGGCATTTCATTCAGTCACTCTGACTGTTTGCTTGCCAGTGCGTGTTTATACACTTGGACAAGTGCATTTGATGCTCCAAGCAGGTAGCGCATTTCCCATGAGCCATCTCATTTCTTTTTTTACTTGTTGTAGTTAGACAGCAAGGCAGGCATGCTGAGCCTTAACCTAGCTAACCGCATGACATTATCTTTTCACCCATACGACCACATCTGTTTCTAACCTCAATCTGAAAAACAGGAGAGTTTTTAAATTAGCACCACTACAAAAGGCAGGAGACCAAGATGTTCTCTTACCTAAGCACCCGGTAAAAGTTGTAAAACCGTCGCAACTTTAAATCTAGGGAAAGATCATGGTTTAGGTAAAAAGATATATATATATAGCTTGTGAATGGGTATATTAGTTTACGTGAAGTAATGTAGCCTAACCTACGTTTTGCACGTCATGTTACACTACGTTACCTTTAACTTGTTCAATATAACTCAACGATTATCTTTACATGGGACAAGAACAGTGTGTAAGGTATTTGTGTGTCCCTGTGTCCCTATGCTGACTTTGTTGCTCTTTATCGGCCGTGACCTGACTTACACCTTGAGACAAAAAGCATAATATGGGTCATATGCTGCTTGTACCAACATTCACAGGGTGTTTTTGCAGTGGTGTCAGTGTCAGTTTGTACTCCCATTTCCATTTGACTGAACCATAATCCTACTGCCATTTTGTAATGCACAACTGTACTGTATCACTAGAATTGTAAGTAAACAGTATGGAAGTCAAGGCTACAGTATACTGAAGGAAAACATACAATCCCCATCACAGCAGTGTTGACATACTCAGTCAAATACACTGCTATTATTATTAACTCAGTTCACCCCGTTTCACTTGAAACCCACCCCCAAGCCCTGTCCCTGCTTCCCTCTGTCCCACAGACTGTCCGACCATGAGAAACAGCTGTGGTGGTAGGACCTGGCAAAGTGTGCCATAAGATGACAGCATAAAGGAGAAGGCCTTGAGAGCATTAACATTCATTTCAACATACAGCCACACACATAAACAGCCATCCACACTAAAACATATCTGGCTGGCTTGTGAGCGCACAAGCCTCCTCTTCCAAGGCCGGGAGCTGTGTGAGTAAATTCATATAGAACATACATGAAACGCTATAGTGCTTTGCACATAGGTAAGGCTCATTGTTTTCAATTTATATTCAAATGCCAGGATGTCATTTAAGAAGCACTTAAAAAATATATATGATCACACATATCAGTAAAAGCTGTTCACGGTTCATTGCAGTTTAGCGTAAAGAAAGACCTGTACAAACAAAGTCATCAAAATATAGAAACTGAAGAAAAACAATGTAGAGATAATACAAATGAGTGACTGTTAAAGACAGTCACTTTAAGGAAGAAAATATACATATATTTAAATGTTAATCTAAAAAGTGCTTGCTCTAAAAAGTTGTGTTTTTGTCATAGATGTTGGTGATAGATTTTTTAACTCGAACAAATTATAATGTTGTCTGTTGTTTATTTTTGGAAAATAATGAGCCCTACACAAACAAACACACATATAGACATAGAAACACAGAGAGCACATATAGATACTGTAGACTGGGGAACTGAAGGTTATATCTGAGTCAACATCTGCAAGAATCAATATCAACAGGAGACAGCAATATCAACTCAACAACATTATGCCACTATCATACTAAATGTCTTTATACTGAGAAACGTGTATTTGTATGTATAAGGTACTGCTAAAATGAAGTTTGTATTACAGCTATATACATGTATACAGAGCAGAGAGGAAGTGTTTCTGTGTGGCTCCTACCTTTCTCACTGACTGACTCACTCTCTATCTCCACGTCCTCACAGCTGGTGTACTCAGGTGTGGTGGCCAGCTCCTCCTCCGAGCTGCTGAGCGACACCTGCCGCATCTTTCCTCCCTTTTTGGTTTTGTGGGGCTTGGGGGGTGGCGGGCGCACCGACTCCGACTGGTCCGAGCTGAGAGAGTCGTTCCTCAGCATGCTCTCCATCTTCTCCCTCTTGGTCTTGCGGACGGCCGAACTGGGGTCGAGGTGGTGCTGCTGCCTCCTCATGGAATCCATGTCCCCTCTACGCAGGTCTCCAGATCGGTCCCCCAGCACGGGGCTGCGGTGCGGCGTAGGGGGACTGTGGTTGGAGGATCTGTGGCCTCCGAGGCTGCCCCCCATGGGCCCGGGGGAGGAGCGGTCGACGGAGTAGGAGCGCTGTCCCACCATGGGCGGCCGGCGCTCGGTGAGATGCTGGCGGGACAGCCGGACGGGTCCTGGGTCGTCCTGCTCCGTGTAGGCCAGGGAGACGTCACTATGACGACGCTCATGCCTCATGCGGCCCACCTCTGCGTGCATTCTCATCTGCTCCTCGTAGGGTTGCGGCTTTACAGGGTAGCGGGCCAGGTTGGGGTCGCTACGGTAACGCGTCTGGAATTCTTCCTGCCGCTGCCGCTGGAGGTCGTACTCACTGGGTCCATCTAGCTCCTGGTCCAGCGGGTATTCCTGGGAGTGCCAGCGCCCAGGGCCCCGCCGGTCCCGGTAGCCCATTCGTGCCGCATCTGCATCTGGGTACATGTGTGGGCCCCTCGGAGCCCGCCGGGGGTCCCCATCCCCATAGTCAGACGGTGATCTGGGCATGCCGCCGTCCGTCGGGGCATACTGTGAGTGATCGCCCCCCTCCCCTTGGTCGTATTTTTGGTTTGGATCCCTGGATGCAGATGGACTTCGTTTCCTGTAGATCAAAGAGAAGGGAAAACCATTGTGGAATTTAGAAGTTGGTCCGCTTTAAACGCAACGTTTTCTGATTTAGTTAATACAATCTACATATCATGGTTTATAGTCCGAAAACATTGTGATGCTTAGCGCCATTTCCGATGAGCATACAGTGTCTGCATGTGTGCTACTGGAAATATAAGGTTTCAGTCAGACGTTAGCCTCACGGTGCTTCATCACACTTCAGTCTGTAGCTTCACTTTACTTTGCACTGCACTCTGTAGGCCTCAGTCTCTGTCAAAACCTGATGAAAGCCTGCTCTGTCTCTGTCTCACACACACACATACACAGAAAGAGAGAAATATAACTAAGCAGAAGTATGCAGCAGCACTCCCCTTTTCTCACTGCGAGATTCTATGTACTCTATAACATGGCTGACTGATGCTCTCCTTCTGGCACACTTCAAAAGCAATTGGCACGTTACCTTAAGATTTTACAATTAACATGTGCAAGTAACATGCTGAGCTGAACCAAATCAAGTGGCATGTAAGCTTCTAATTATATAAGGAAGGACACACAGTCTTCACAAAGACAATGTGGTATCTAATGGTTGACTTTTAATGCAATAGGCAATCTTTCATATTTCATCTGATCACCCAATGATGATGTGTGTGTGTGTGTGTGTGTGTGTGTGTGTGTGTGTGTGTGTGTGTGTGTGTGTGTGTGTGTGTGTGTGTGTGTGTGTGTGTGTGTGTGTGTGTGTGTGTGTGTGTGTGTGTGTGTGTGTGTGTGTGTGTGTGTGTGTGTGTGTGTGTGTGCGTGTGTGTGTGTGTGTGTGTGTGTGTGTGTGTGTGTGTGCGTGCTTAGGCATAACAATTATGAAGCAGCGGGTATCGCATCAGAGTTTCACAGATTGTGTCTGTGTACACAGTTCAATCGACATGACGAAGAAAGAGAAAAGAATAAATTAGTTCTGTTTAAATGTATCATCTTAAAACAAGCACAGTTATATTGGACATTAGGTGAAAATAAAAGATGGATATCTTCAAGTATGGTTAGAGTCAGGAGCCCCATATTTCTTAAAATTAGCTATCAATCATTTAATCATTGTCCCGGTGTCTGAAAGGAAAGCAGCCGGGAGGTGGGTGAAAAGCCTGTGCATTAATGCATTTATTCTTTTGTTGAAAATCAATTATTCATAAGCCACTTTTCTCCTACATTTCTTCCACTTTCTCCCCCAAAATAATAATGACATTTTGGTGAGGAAGAAAAAAGCTCTGTGAAGCATTCCTTTAATTTTGTACGTGACAAGTTACCATACATTTCAAAGGGCTTCATAAATCACTGCTGCCAGCCTTGCTCAGTGGCCAAGGTACGGACTCCTCACATGTGATTGGCTAATTTACTGAAGCAGGGAGGGTTGGTCCCTGTCTACTGTATCACAGACCACGTTAGCTCGAGTATAATGCAGCACTCTGCTGAGGCACATGGGGTAAAGAGTATTTTTGTGTTTTCTGTGTTGAATTATATGTCAAACACTGAATAATCTCCCTAAAATAAAGTGCAAGTTTTAAGGAGAGACAGAATGATCTATGAGCACAATGTAAAGTTCATGAACAAATGTTAAAATATGGGATGTTACACAGAGGCGGAATACTATTTATACATAAAAAGAAAGTATTGATGGTAATAATTATTAACAACCAGCGATTTTCTGCAAAAAAGGTCTAATAAACATACTGTATGCTACTTTCAGACGGAGTAAGTGTCCACATAGTGAACATGATGGGACATTTAGATGCTTAACCCTTAGATGCACGAGCGACTGGACCCTACACTCTTCCATAAGTGGGTCAAAAAGGACCCGTATTACAATAATATGTGCTTTTATGCCATTTTGGTTAAGAAAAATCACTTGTATAATATTTAGTATTATATTTAATATTTCACTATTTAAAATTTTAGAATTTTTTTTACATTTTGAAAAAAAACGTTTTCTCATAGGATTCCATAGAAAATGCATGCGGGTCATTTTTGACCCACTTGTGGAAGCTTGGGGTAGTAATACAAAAACTACAATTTCTTAAAATGTAAATTTAAAATTAGAATGGCATGATATCCAAAACATGTTTTTTGAGGAATAGCTGGAATATGAAATGATAATAAAATGTAATTACAAAGATACTTCAAGAAAACCACCTCACCGGGTCAAAAAAGACCCACTTATGCATCGAAGGGTTAAGAAAAAGAAAATCTCATCAGAAGTTGGAGCGGACCAAACCGTAGATAAAAGCAAAGTGATTATTGGATGTACTTTGCCAAGTGTATTAAACTAAGCTAATCTTGCTCCATGTCATTTGGGCGACTAAATGAGCAACTGCATGCTAACCAGTTTGCCATAACAACTTTATGAGATGGATGTGGGCTGGGATGTGAAGTAAGAACTGGCGACTGCTGCTGGGACTTTGGTTTGGAGTCTAGTTCATCCCTTTCAGATGCCATTCTTTTTGCAACTTTGATCATTTCCTCCATTCCAAACTAAAATAAACCAGATTCACGTAATAGCAGGTTAATACATTTGTATTGCCATTTTACATTTCTGGTATAATAAATGTTTTTCCAAAGAACCTTCTCAATTTCTGAGAGGATAGACACCACACCTGAACGATGTGGAGATGCCAAATGCAATGTACATTACTTGATCAACAGCAACTCAAGATCAATGATGGACAGTATAAGCCACTAACCGATTGCACAATGTCATCTCTTGCAAATGCAGTACAAAGACAAATCTTAGCACTGATGATGCACTGGAAATACAAACACAACCAAAACAAGAGGAATGGCTAATGTGGACTTTAATGTAATGAACACATCCTCATTTACAACAAAGGCAGAGAGAGACTAAAAGGCCATTTTAAGTGTGTGTGATGAAGCCAGCTCACGCAAGTGACCTCTCTTTCTGCTTCACATCAAAACAAATGTGTCCTATCACTTTAGTGCACAAACGCTGCTTCGCAAGTGAAACACACGAGGGTCGCTGCATTATTCATGATCTGCTCCAGGACACTAACTGAGCAGCGCTTCATTCACAAATTCAAAGTGAAGCAGAAGCAGAAATGATATGCTGGAGTAGGGGACAGGCGCTGTGACTTGGATGGGAGATAGTGGGGAGTGGGGGGGGAGGGGGGAGGGGCAGTGTGATGAGCATGTGAAATCTCTTCTTATAGTGACTTGATGATGATGGAGGAGTGTATGTTCGCATGTGTTCAGTTGTGCTTCACTTTAGCTCTTGGAATGTCCTCAGAGCTTCGGGCTAATGTTTCCTGTGGGATGGTGTCTTGAAATCGTACACCCTCAACCCACAATGCACATGGCAACTACAACAAACATGAACAAACTGCCCTTTAAAGGGCTCTAACTCCTGGTGACACAAGTATCACATTCCCATGCTCCCGTTAAGTCTGCATGTCCTTCCTGTCGGAATGTCGATGGCAGCGAGCAAGTAAGCCACAAACCGCACTCCCTATCAGCCTTTGCATCATGATGCTAACGCTGAACCAGCCATGGCGCAGGACTACATTTTGTACCGTGCATTATTCCCCCATTGCTCCAGCTGCCACTGCTACTGTAATAGCCTCTCTGCAGATACCTCGGAGCTCTGCCGTAACACACTCTGCTGATCTTAGATTTGCATTCCATCCTCAGTGACACAGGCAGAGACAGAGAGGAGAGAGAAGAAATGTGGAAAGGGAAAGAGGGGGGAAATAATTGACCACGTATGTGAATTAGAAGAAGTGTGAAAAAATGAAGCGGGGACGATGCCAGTAAACTATGACCCACAGACATGCAGCTCGTGTGCGTGGTGCATTCAGCCAAGCTTGTCAGGCTCAAGGATGGGACAGCATAGGATTGTGATGCCTGAGATGCTGCACAGAAGCCTGGCTGCTGCAGCAATTGAGTCACGAAGCGCACACAGTGACGTGCTTCCTCCATCAGAGTCCCTTATATAGCAAGATGCGTGCGTGATGTCACTACAGACATGGTGCTGAGTCGCAGCGCAGCGTGCAGAAAATCCACCAGCAGTGAATCATCCTAACAGGCCGACAATAGAGAGGCATGTTCGCTGTCTGCGCGGCGCAGTGTGGAATACAGGAGAATGCTTTCTGCTGCACCATTCTGAACATTCCCGCCGAGGGTACAACAGCAGCCCCCGTTACTGCTGGTTTCCTGTTCTCAGCCAACTACAGAGATCCTCTGGTGTGACAGCGTATGAAGCAGGAGGCCTCATTCGGGTGGTGATGAAAATAAGATTCAATTCAGGGATAGAGACACTGAATTTACAGTATCACTATAGCTGGACTCTTATATATACATGCACTTTTGACACTGACTTCATTCCAATAACATTTTCATTTAAACTTCCAACTGCACTAATGTCGCTCCTGTGGTGTACTGTACCATCATTGTCTCATAATGTCTTTTTTCCTTCCAAAACAAATATGAGCTTTCCTTTTGAGCATGCATCTGTCCCTCCCCAGCCTTGCAAACTGTTGGCTAGTTGGTTTGCACGGAGATGGCCGAAAGCAGTTAAAAACAATTAAGACGCATGTTCTCAATGGGTTCTGTATATTTTCAAAAACACTCCTAAAACCTTTATAATATTGGCTTATCCCACATCTAATGGTAAAGTGCTACAATTCTAATAAACTTAATCTGGAATATCAAAGCAGTATATTGTGTTACCATGCTAGTGTGCATTTAAAAGAATACACATGGCATTTATATTCCTTTGGGTCTATTGGCTATAGATCCTGATATCTAAGTAAGAAAGAGCACCATTGGTTTACATGCAAAAGCAAAAGAGTGTATAAAGCCTCTCGGTGGTGCGGGGTGGCAAACCTTCATTCAAACATACAGACATGTCACTAAAGCTGTGAAAACATGTTTTCTGTTTATGCTTTCAGCAAAGCTTTGTACACCGCCGGTGCGTCTAAATTCTAATATTAAAATCATCTT